CGTAAACGGAGCGACGTATTTCGAATGAGTTTCGAGTTACGTAAGATTCGTAACGTGGATGTGAATTTCAACGAGGTCCAGGTAGAAGACGAGTGAAAGACGTCAACAGATGGCGCGCTTCGGTTACTTAGTGTTTACTCTATTATTAAAGGACGATCAATGCACCCACGAAGTACTTCAATCGAAGCTACAGTTCATCCAAAGTACGTCAATCAGAAGTAGTGCACCAACGTAGCGTTTCATCACTGAAAGAAAGTCATCCAAGTACGTTATCTGAAGAACAGTTCATCCAAGTACGTCCTCAATCCGAAGCTCAAGTTTACTCCAAATACGTCAATCGCGAAGTAAAAGTTCATCAACAAGTACTTCAATCCGAAGTAAGTTATCCAAGCTACGTTTGCACTCGAACCTAAGTTTCATCCAAGGTTACTTCAGTCCGAAGTAAGTTCATCCAAAGTACGTTCAATACGCGAATAAGTTTATCCAGTAACGTTTAACTCGCGAACCAGTCAACCGTCATCTAAATACGTTCATACCAAGACGTTCTTACGAGTACTCTCTCACTTGAAGTAAATTCAAATCCGAAGGTAAGTTCATCACAAGTACGTTCAACCTCCAAAGTAAGTTCATCCAAAGTACGTTCAATCCGAAGCTAAGCAAATCAACGTACGTTCAAATTTGAACAGAGTTCATCCAAAGACGTTCATTCCGCAAGTAAGTTTACTCGATGGCTCCGCTTCTTTCACTTATTTTATCAGCAGCATGTGTAACTTTGAGAAAAAAAAACACTTTAAAAAATATGTTATGTCATGTTATGAGATCGAGAATTCAGCTTGAAACCACACGCTCTAGCGGCTCACGGGGCTGAAACTACGCCACCTATCGTCGATAAACAGTAATCTTATTCATGCATTTTTCGGTCAGTAGCTTTCGTGTTACGTGGATAGAGATAAGGTGGGCTCTAAGAAACACGGGCAGCTGTAGGCTTTCAGCTGATCATATCAACAGTAATCTTACACGCGAGTTGGTGAATAAACCCCCCCCCCCCAACAATCTCTCAGCTGAAAACGCAGCCAAACAAATAGCGACCTACAATCCTACATTCCTGTCAACAAACACTGCGCAACCAAGGATAACTACACCTGTTTTTTTGACAGATTCGAATATGCTTTCAAAACGAGGAAATACAACGATCTGGAATCGCCGTCAAGGGGGCACTACACGCCTTTCAACGATGTCAGACGATTGTCACTGTCAATTGATGTGGACGAGTTTCCTCGCATTCGATTCCCTGCATTTCGACGAAAGTTGCCATCGTCGCGGCCATATGATGACAATCGGCCACTCATCTACCGTGGTAGAGTCACCAGGCGTCGAGGTAGCTCTATCAACACCCTGTTCAACCGTTACCTGTGAGCTCGTGGAAATCAGTTGCATTTCGAAAGTGCAGAGTTAAGAGTTTGGCATGAAATCGTACGCGTTGTTACATTATTAATATTTATACATAGATCTGCATAGTTCTGTAGTTGGAAAAACTTACATAATTGACTCATTCGTAAATTCGTAGATATAGACTTTAGTGGAAATGTAGAAATACTAAGATTTTTAGCAAACAGTAAAGAACTGGCAAATGTCTGTGACAGATAATAATTATACCGAACTAAAATCAGATGATAAAACACATTGAAGACATTTCATTTTTTTCCGAACATCTTCCTGTGATTTAATATGAATAAATCCGATCTCAACATCAAAGGTTTGGCGTTTTCTTCTCCCTTAGTTACATAAAACCGTGATGTTATCTAGTCATGTAACAGCAAACACGAGGGTGCATACAAATACTACAAACAATACAACAACGATAAAAACACAACATATTAACATGGTGCTCCGTTACGCGATCAAGCATCCTCGGTTACGACACGCGCCTCGACCGCACAACCTTCTCGCGCGGCGACGAAGTCGACAACGACACCGGCGCCGCCTATTCGGAATCGTCGCTGTTGTTCGAGTACTCTTCGGAATCGCTCGTGCAGTAGTAATCCGTGTACATCTCGGAGAAGGGCACGCTGGAGAGCCAGTAGAGGCTGCCCCGTGCGAGAGCGTCCTCGGCCGTGGGACGTGCGTGCCACGAGACAAACTCGCGCAGGTGCGCGGGCACGGCGTCGGTCGGCACGCCGGCGCGCAGCAGCGCCCGCGCCGCAAGACACTGCAGCTTCATATGTCTGCCGTGCGTGACGAGGTCGCCGGTGGTCGCGGCGAGCGCCGGGTCGGCCGCGCGAACCCAGCTCCATCGCGCGCGCGCACGTGATCGAGCACGGATTCCCGTCGACGTTCAGCGTTCGTCCGCGTGCGCTCCGCATCGCCGACCAGGCAGCTCGATGAGTCCGCCAGCGCGCCGCCGATCTTCCGACTGGCTCCCGCCGGCGACAGCGGGCTCCCGCCGCCAGTGGTAGCTGGGAGGCGCGGCACTGGCAGTGCGCGGGTCTCGCGACCTTGTAGTCGCGCACGTTTCGTCGGCGCGCGCGAGCAGGCCAGCTGTCGACGCCGCTCGCCCCCCGCCGCGCGCTCGGCTTAGAACGTAGCGCGTCCGCCGCCACCTGCAGCCCGCCCGCCCGTCGCCCGGCCCCTCCCGGCACCCCCCCCCCCCGTTCCCCGGACGCGCCCCGCCGCCCCCCGCCCCCCCACCGGCCAGCCCGCGCGCGACCGTGTCCCCCCCGCTCGTTTATGCGCAGTCTTCTCCCACCGCCGCACGTCCGGCGCGGGGAGCGTCCCACAGGCGGCCGAAGCACGCGAGGCCGGTGGAGCGGCGTGTGTGGCGAGCGCGCCTGCGGACACCCATGAGCGCAGGCGATTCGCGTCGGCCCGCTCGAGAGGAAGAACCTCCGCGAGATCCGGCCCCTCACGAGTCCGAACTGGCAGCTCGGTGGAGGCGGCTGGCGCCTCGCGCGTCGGTGGCGCCGCTGTGCAACTCGGCGCGCGCTGGCAGCAGCGCCGCAAGCGACAGCGCAGATGTTCCCCGGCCGCCGCGCGGGGCGCCGTCGGCGTACCGCGAGAATTTGCAGGGCGGTCTGGCCCGTCGTCGTTCGCGCGCGTCGACGTCGACGCCGACAAATCGGCGAGGAGCAAGAACGCAACGACCTCGACCCGCCCGCGCCGGCACCCGTGGAGAGCCGCGCAGCCGAGACGCGCGTCATCGAGCGGTTCGTGGTTCCGGACCCGGGGTCGGCGAGCAGGGCGTCGCCGCCGCGGCGTCTGTACCATGCCGCAGCAGCGAGGCGGGGTCGACTCCCGCGAGGTCTCGCGTCTCGACGATCGCGTCGGCGAGGCGTCCGTGACCGACGGCGCAGCGCAGGCAGCGGTCCGGATCGGCACCGTGCTGGATGAGCAGCTTCGCGAGGCGGAGGTCTCGCGAGACGCCGACTTCGTGGACCGCCGAGACGGGGTCGGCATTCGCCGCGAGCAGCGACTCGGCGATCGAGTGGTCGCCGCGGCGACACGCCTCCTCGAGTGCGGAGCGACCCGACCCCGCAGGGTCGTAGCCGTACTCGGGATCGGCGCCGTCCGCTAGGAGGCGCCACACGCGGTCGGCGTCGCCGTGCGACGTGGCGACGTACAGCTCGTGGCCGAGGACCTGCTTCACGGCCGGGTCGACGAGGAGGTAGTCTTCGAAGTCGGAGTCGCCGCCGCCGGCGCCCTCTGACAGCATCGCGTCGTCGCCGTCGCCGTCTGACGGCATCGCGTGGTCACTGCCGGCGCCCTCTGGTGGCATGGCGTCGTCGCTCATCTTGATTCGAGCGTTCGATTGTTCGGCGCGTGAATTGAAACGAGAGGTTTGGCGTCTAGCGGAGCCGCACTATCTGCAACACGACACTTGACATATTTTTGTCCGTAGTAGTACTAGTACTAGTAGTAGTAGTAGTAGTACTATTAGTATTACTACTAAGTAGTACTGCCTACTGGGCGACTCACACGTGCTGTCTTTCCGGATAATTTAAGCTTTTCCTACTGCGAAATGCAGTACTGACCCGTCCATTTGATCAATGTTGTCTCTCTCTCTCTCTCTCCGTTTCCAAAATAGTCTCTTGCCTTGGCCTTGGGCTTTTACTTTTACGTTTTAGTTTTACTTAGTTTTACGTCGACCACTAATCTTACTTTTAGTTTTACTTTTAGGTTAACTCATGAAGCCTGAAGGTTATAATCCTTGGAATTATAATCCTCCCCCGCCTTCGATATAGTCCAGTGGGCTTTGATGACTAACCTTTATGAGGTCCTTAGGTTAACTGACGAAGGTTATATTTCTTGGAAATAAACGCAAAAATTCTACCAAATTCTACAACTTTCGGCACTAATAACAAACCAGTGGCGCCATCGCGCCATAATATCTGCAACTATACTGGTCATTACTCGTAACGACACAAGTTACCAAAAGCTTCATATTAATCGCACACTTTCTTCAATGCTTTTTTACTGCTTTTTTATTTTACTTTATCAATAAACTATACTTCTTTGACCTTCTCTATAATCTCTACTCTTATTTTTCTGCCCTCTTCCACTTATTCATCTACAGCGATGATGACGATAGCAAATTTGTTTACAACGTACTAATTTACAAATTTCAAAGTAGAATAACCTCAATAAAGTTAAAGAAAAATTACTGCAATAGTACATAACAATAACTACTAAAAGAATAGTATAATAAGAATAGTGTTAAACGAAACATAAAAGACTGAGAAACACAAACAACATTAGGCAAGATGGCGTCGAAATATTTACTTATGATATTCGTGTTGTACATATGTACACATTGTGCATTTTCTGATACATTTGATAGAGTGTTTGGAAGTCTTGATCCGTGCAATAGTGCGTGTGATACCACGTATCCTCTTCACACGTACCCAAAGGTATATCACATGTCTTCTGAACCTATTTCCGTGTTTGATTTTGCCACTGGGGTACAGTGACTGAGTGACCATCACCAGACACGACGCAGTATTTCCGTGTCAACAAACATTAATTGGCTAGCTACGTTCACACGTGTAAACGTTTTAGAAAATTATTCAGAATATTATTTATTTTGGCATTTTGATAATACTTGATTATACCAGTTTGTGATAGACTGTGACTCAATATTTATATTTAGTATACTAATTATAGTAAAGTAATACTAATACTCAGTAATACCTATCAG